GTTATCATCATTGTTTAAATAATCAATCGAATGAAATAATATTACTTGATCCAACAGATACATTTCATATTGATAAAAAATTTAATTTAATTTTAAAAAAATATTTAAATGTTAAACAACAAAATTTCTATTATTTAACTCTTCAACAAAAACAAAATAATTCAACGAGTGATGTAAGTTCAATATTAAGTTGAACATTCATGAAGAATTTGACTCGGCTAAGATTAAGACGTCAGACAGGGATGATCAACAGAGCTCATCGAGTTCAAAATTTTTCGACGTAGTCTACTAGTATCTATCACAGTTTGAATGTGAAGCCGAAATAGTTAAATCACATGTTTACGAAAATTTGAAATATATTTTACTATAGAATCATTGAAATTGAAGATGTCGTATATTTCAGTACTTGAGCAAAAAAATGTTATACATATACACTTAAATTTCTAATCATAAGACTGAGAAAATGAGCATGTTTCGATATAGTTTACAGGAGTTTTGAAATTTCATCAATTTGACTGTAGATTATTTTTGAATCAAAAGAATTCCTATCGACTATATTGATGAGTGTAAGCTATGATTAAAGATATCCCGAGAGTGGTCATCCTCTAATCTTGAGAAATGTTCGATTTTTCCCAGTGAAGTTTCAGCGTTTTATTCATTTTTTTGCTTACCTATTCTCAAACACTTCTCGAACGTGCCCCATGAGTTCAATTGATTTTAGCAAAAGCCCTTCGAATCGGTTTCCTGATTCATCGGCCTTCTCCCAAACTTTGTTTACCTTAGAACACTCTTGGCTATTTTATATATATTCTAAAACTACTAGCTTCTGCCTTCACATCTATCCTATATAGTGGTGGAGCTAGAGATGGATAGGGAACTTAGCCCACAGCGAGATTTTTGAAACATGTATTTTATTCGCCAGAGGGGCCTGAAAGGTTCATAGAAGGAACTGGCCATTCTCTAGACCAAAATCCTGGCTTCGTCACTAATACTATATTAATATTGTTTTGTGTCAGCTTGCGAATATCCTATTGATGAAAGTGCAGTCAGCCAGGTTCAAGAATTTTTATATCTATCAGTTGAGATTTAACGGTTTTGGTTTTATTGGAACGGCTGAAGTTTAGTTGCGATCGGCGGAAAGAGTTCGACTTTTCACACCCTATACTTTAACACTCTTTTTAAATCTGTTCAAGAAAATATTAAGTTTTTTTTATTTAGATAATTATCTGTTCAGTTCAACTTCGGATATATATTGTTAATCCATATTCAATTGCTAATGTATTTCCTTATTTTACTCAATCATTTTATATTTTATCAAGTAAAACTTTATCTCAATTTTCTCTTCCATCAATACCATCTTATGTCAAATATATATCATCAGTACCAGATATAATATCAATTGATCCATATAATGGTTCAATTATAATTCGATCATCTGTATTATATTCATCTTATTATTATGATTTTCAAATAAAAGCAATCGATTCTCAAATATCATCATTAAGTAGTTTAGTACCAGTTCGAATATTTTTTGGTATTAATAAATATTCACCTCGTTTATTAATAAATTCTACAAGACAATCTATTGAAATTTTATCATCAAAATATCTCTATCAAATAAAAGCTTATGATCCTGATATATTATTAAATGATCAAACAAATTTATATCCACCATCTGTAGAGTATGAAATCGATGATAAATCAATAACTATTGAAATCGAACGTTTTACTGGTCGAATATTTCTCAAAGATTTAAATAAAACAAAAATTAATTTTACATTAATTATAAAAGATTTTGGTCAACCAAATCGTTTAATAACTCAACAAACATTAATATTTGATATAAAATCAAATGAAAATATTTCAATCATATTTTTTTTTATTAGTATATCATCAATGCTTTTATTTGTTATTCTATTAACTATTCTAATACTTATTATTAATCATTGTTGGTTAAATCATAAAAAAAACTTAAAAATTCAAAAGAAAACAACTTGGCAAAATATTTCACCAACAACACCAGATACATGTCTAATTGATAATGAATATGTAAGAATATTTTATTAGAGAAAATAAAAAAACGAATAAATCCATAAATAATTTTTATTTTAGATGACAACAACAATAACATCATTACCTCGTGTATCAAGTCGTGAACAAAGAATTTATCCAACATATTCATATGTTAATGATTATCAACATCAACGAAGAATTTTTTCACATTCATCATTAGATAAACTTAATTTTCAATATTCATCAGAAAAAATACCTTTTAAACAAAATTATCAACAACGTTTGTCAATGACTGATATAAATAAATATTTAGAACGTTTTGAAAAACTTTATAATGATTCATCATCACAACAATATTTACATCAACCGATTGGATCTGTTGTATAAACATTCGTTTATTTTTCTTTTGTGTTTTTTTTTTAGTCAATATAAAAAAAAATATATGTGAAAAATACATTTACGTGTACAGATCGATGATTTTTTAATAGATTATTTCTAAAAATAAAAAAAAAAGAAAGAATTAAAATATTCAGATTTCATGATTAAATGGATGAAAAACTATGCATTAATAAGGGTATGACAGTAACCGTTGGATCTGAACAAGTATAAAACATGAAATCACATTGAAACAGCTCCAACTTGACAAACTCACGAATAAAAATAAAATCTAGCTGACTTTTGCAAAGAATGACTGATGACACAGGTGTAATATATTCTATACTGCTAAACAATAAGTCAAGAAATGTGAATGAATACAAAAGAAAGTTTTTAGGGGAAATTCTCTCCTTTCTAGCACTTCTAATCTACGACAATCGGTGACAATGATGAAAAATAAAATCGCCAAAAAAATCTTTTTACGAAGGAACTTTCTCAAGTGGTGACGCCCACTGTTTGAATTTATATTGAACTTACAAACGGTTCTCAGTGAGAATAGAACTCTAGAAGAGATCGGCTCATCAGCTTTTTGCGTCGAGTTATGATTTGAAATTTTACCTAAAGGTATGTGTAGTGACTTTTAGAAAATACTGAAAGTTTCAGTCGAACAGATTATTTTTTCGTCAAGATATTAAATTTCCAAAAGTAGTCTTCGATCACAATAATCGAGTTCATTTGAAAATTTAGTAACTCAACGAAGGAATATTCTAAGAGTCATTAACCCTATCGATAGACAAAATTTTGGATTAAAAACTCTGTCATTCGGTGTTCCGGAAAGTACAAAAATTCAGTAAATCGGTCATAATTCAGCGCTACAGACCAATGGGGGCGAATTCTTGTAAACTTTTGCTATTCTCTCTGAAATCTGCCTATGAATACAATATGAGCTCAAATAGCAAATGTCGCTTGATTATAGCACCCCCGATAGCAATAACTCAGAGAACTGAAGAAAGCAATTTAACAATCTATTCAAGGATAAGAAACCTTAGATATGAGTAAAAAGAATGTATGTTTAATGAACCTTTTTAATTGAACATGAAGCCTTACATCAAAGTAAGTTATAGTTACTTTTAAAATTTCATTTTTCCTTATTTTGGAACTTCTATTTGCTGAAGTTTTCTCTATTCGACAATGAATATAATTTTTCATCTTTTCTGAACATTTCAATTAAGTCAAAATGTGAATTTCAACATTCAATTGCCATTTATCAGTAAGACCTTGTATGAATTTTTCACTGCTCACATACTTCTCTCATCCTAGCACAATTTGCTATGTGATTGAATCATATGTCTGAAAATTGAAGTTTGTGAGAAGTGAAATAGGAGTCTCATTGTTTTCAAAAATATACCCGAATTTAAATACCGACTAATTGTCGCTTTCTTCTGAAAAACAGCTGCTCAGAAGGTTTTGAAATTTTTAGTGTAGATAGGTCTCAACAGTTGTCATAGACTTAATATTTCCAAAAGTTTTCTTCTAAGAGATATCAGCGTTGCAAAGGATAAAAATCATCCGCTTTCTTTCTTATCTGCGATACATCTAATAGATTTAACATTTATTTTTACACATACTAAACATTGTTTGGGATGTCTATCTTTTTTTCCGTTTCTTTTTATCTTCTTTTATTCTGAGCATGTACTCAAAAAAATGCATGTGTTTTTTAACTAAAGCTTCTTTGTGAATCCTGGAAAAAATCAGCAGTATCTCATACTTTGAAACAAAATAAAAGTTGGCATTCTTAACACTTTATAATATAAGTAAAAGAAAGTTTCAGCTCGATCGCATACATTGTGATTGAAAAACGAGGACGATTCTCAATTTTTCTTTTTATTGAACAATTCATTTCTCAAAAATATAACAAAGTTATATGGAAATTTCGATGTTTTTCAGTGAAAATGTTGCATCTCTTTCGACTTTTATAGTAATAGTTATATACTAAATCTTGAAATATATCCAGTACTTCAAAGTAGATATAGACTAGAACAAAAAAATGAAATTCTTCAATATCTTATTTGTTTCCACAAGACTTTTTATTGACGTAATTCATTATAGTAATATGAAACCCTCTGTTCCATCACTTATAATTCGCAAGAAGTAGTACGCTATTTGATACCGTCAGCTGCTTCCATTATTAAATTTTCTAGATAATAAAACAGGCAACAATCTGAGTTCATCATGCACTCGTTGACACGACTGTTTCTTCTAGTAATATATTTCTTCTATCATAAAAGATTCTTCCCTTGCTGTTAGCTAAAAACAAGTTAGAAATATTTAATGTATCAGACAAAGATTTCATCATCAGTTGCTAAACTTCACTTATTTTACTATAGGTTAATTCACTGGAAAAATAATTATGAACTTTTAGTAGTAATAATCTGTTACCTTCTTTTTTGCACGTCTTCGTTTTTTCTTCATCTTCGCACTGAGTTTTAATATATCAGCAAAAACAAATTGATCAATTTTTTCACTAACATTAATCTTAATTTTTTTTAATTTACCTACAATGATAATTATAGTTTGCTCAACAGAAAAAAAAAGAAAGAATCAAATTATACTCATCGATATTTACTTTCTTTTCGTTTTTTTAATGCATCTAAAATAATTCCTCCACATACATGTCCAATTACATTTTCATCAAGATCAAGTTCTTCTAATTCTTCAGAGATTTCAATTAATCTTTAAAAAAACAAATTTAAATTAATTATTCTTTTATTATAAATTAAAAAAAATTAACAAACCGTGCAAAAGCATTTATTGGTTGTTGAACAATAGCAAAACCATCAGGTTGTAGACAATCAATATCATTATCAAATAAATGAATTTTCGTAACAAATGGCCCAAATGGTGGCATATCATCAAGTGTTAGTTTTTTCTTCTTTTTCTTTTCTATGAAAAATGATTTAAAGAAATTCGAAAAAATTTTCTACATTCAAATTATTACTTTTTTTCTTTTTCTTTTCTTCTTTTTTCTCACTTTCAGTTAATTCACGTGGTAAACCTTGTCTTTCTCGAAGTAATGCTATACAATAATAATAAAAAAATTTAAAAAAAAAGCCTCATTTTTAACATTTAAAATCAACCTTCTTGTTCTTTTAATTCTATTTCAACTCGTAATTTATCTTGTTTATCAAGAAGAAATTTTTCACAATCAAGTAACAATAATTTTATTATATCAAATGCACCTTGACATCCGAAATGGTTTCCATCAAGATAAATTTCACTAAATTAAATTCTTTAATTCAAATAGAAAAAAAATAAGTTTATTTATACGATATAGCGGTTTGTACGAGAAGTCGACCTAAAGGATTTCCACATACAGGACCTAGATCGCAGTATGTCATAGAAAGTTGCGTGATGCATTGATTGTTAACCAAATTATTACATAACAATAAACACCCTTCATCACCAAATCTAAATATATGTATTTTTGTGAATTAAAAATCTAAAAGAAGTGTTGAAGGATAGGGATAAAAATTTGAATCTTCTACAAACAGTGACAGACGTTGTTAATATGCGATCACAGATCGTATATTAATAACATTTCGTTATAATATATGAACTACTTCCTTATTGCATTTTTGGACAATTCAATAAAAAAAAATTTGTCCTAAAATGGATAGAATAAAACAGTCGTTCTGTCATTACCGATAGAAGTTACATCATGTTTTACAATTTAATCTCACAGCACTGCGGGCACCCAGGCGAACATTAGTGGAAAAATTGAAAGTGTATTTTCTAACTATATAAATAAGCATACATGTACTTTGACGTATAATTTATTTAATAATAGCAAATTTGTTATTCCTCTTGTTAGCATTAGTCGGAAAACATGGATAAAAATAGAGATGGAATCGATGCCAGTTATTGGCGGGTAGATCTGTCCTTATCGGTGTGTCTTACTGAAAAAAAGCATTTTTCGTTAAAATTGAGTGCTTTTAAACAAAACATGTGTTCAACATAATGAGATTGCGTAATTTTCGACAACTTCAAATTGGACGAAACTTCTATAGAATGTCCTTCCATTCATAACACTGATATAACTTTGACGAGAATGAATGTAAGTGTGTCTAGAGTGAGCTATATATTTTCTAGGAAATCTTCGATTTTTAAGGCACAACTCGCTTTCTTGACATAGAAACACTTTTACTGCAGACTAATTTACATGTATATCAAGCATGAACATCTTTCATAGTCAAAAACAGTTCTTTTTTTTGGATGGAGTTTTCAGATGATATTGATATTGGAGAGATGATAGAGAAATATTGAGCAGAAAATAAGATATTTCTCAATTAAAAATATTACAAATTCACTTGATCTATGAAAAATGCTCACAGCGTACAGAGATTGTGCTAACAGCTTTTGTTTAAATTGTGTCACTATTCTATCATCATAAATATTTTCATATTCAACCAAAAAACTTACTCATTATAGTCAAGATTCAATATTCGAAGTGTACGACATATACTAAATGATCTATAGGAAAAACAAATATAATTACTATGGAAACTTTCAAACATACATACGTTGAAAGTCTGTATAAAGGCTCAGGTTGAAGAAGACAATCTTTAAGTGAAAGAGTTTGAACAATAGTTGTTGGACGTTTTAAATAAAGACCCTGACAATTATTAATTAATCATTCATTTTTATCATAAAACATTTCTTACAAGATCAATACAATCAAGTAAGTCCATACAAATATTCCATACAGCGAATACTTTTAGTGTATTAACTTCACAAGTTGACAAGGTACGAACAAATGGTCGAACACAAGTTTGTAGCTATTCAGTAGAAATTAAAGAGAAAAAAAAGAGCTTTTTTTATTCAGAATATTTTTCAACTACAAACAATTGGAAACGCTTCTGCAACGGGTTTAGGTTCATCTGTTACTTCAACATGTTTAATTGCTTTTTGAGGATTCGGTCGTAGAAATACCTGAAATATATCAATAAAAATTTTCTTTACATTTTGAACGAAATTAAATATTTCACTCTTGTTAAACTTTCGCCTTCTTCAATTAATAATCGAATTGTTTTTGTCACCTCAGTACAAGTAACACTATTCTGTTCGGTACTATATTGATCATATAATTTTAAAATACGTCGTAATAATTGAGCATTTTGTTCAAGTAATGCAGCATCTTTTTTCTTCGATTTTTTCTTTCCTTTTGCCATTGAGTAACAAACCTGTAACAAAAACTAAAAGTATGGCAATCAATGATTTTTCCTATGATCAATCTATCGCTAGTCTATCTTTCAAACAAATATAGAAAATCTGGGTTTTTGCATCCAATTCAACGAATTTCTAGGCTAATAATGACATTCGTATGTACGAAAACTAACGTAAGTAGCAAATCTTTTAAAACGTACTTAACCATTTTTATATGCTATGTCTATAGCAATGCCTCTACGGATTGAATCACTTATGCACTTTGAATAATCAAAAAAACTAAAATTCTTGATAAAACTTCTATTTAAATTCTAATAATTTTTTATTGAGGTATTTTTTTAAATAAATTTAATTTAATGATTTTTTTGTCAGTAGAACTTATAGACAATCGTTTTTTGATTCAAACAATCAAAAGAACTATTAATCAATAAACAAACAATCCGACATCTGCATGAATAAACTGTGGATTTTTCGTTCGTTGAATTAAAAGAACGAATGAATAGTCAAGGAAAAAAACAACTTATATTTTATAGGACATTTTTTCTTGTACTTTTTGTAGATTTACTTGATCATCATCATAAGAAAAGAAAATGGGTTTCGGTGATCTTGAATCACGTGATGGTCTTCTTTTGCTCAACACATTTCTTGCTGACAAATCCTATATACAAGGGTTTGTCTTGTACATTTATATATGTTCTTATTTATGTCTAAATATTATTATCCAATAGATATCGTCCATCACAAGGTGATGTTGTTGTATTTGAAGCTGTTAAAAAATCTCCAACTGCTGATCTTGAACATGCTTTACGTTGGTATAAACATATTGCTTCATTTAGTGATGGTGAAAGACAAAAGTAATTTCTATTTTACCTTTTTTTGGGGGGGAAGAAAAAAAAATTTTGTCTTAGATTTAAAGGTGAACGTCTGTCAATTGAACATTATGGACGTCAACATGGTCAAGACAGTCAAATAAAACATGAATTTAAAACACCTTCTGTTGATCCATCAACAGTACAAGCACCAAAGAAACCTGCTGCTGCTGATGATGATGATGACGTTGATTTATTTGGTGATGAAGATGAAGAAGAAAGCGAACAAACTAAACAACGTTTAGTTACTTATGCAGAAAAAAAAGCTAAAAGTAAAAAGTAAAAACTTTTTTTCCTTATATAAACTGTCTTTTTTCTTAATTTAAGAACCTGCTATTGTTGCTAAAAGTACAATTGTTCTTGATGTATGCATTAAAATATTAATTAAATAATTTTGTTTCATGTATTTCTTTGAATAGATTAAGCCATGGGATGATGAAACAAATATGGAAGAACTTGAACGTCATGTACGCTCAATTGAATTAGATGGATTACTTTGGGGTGCTTGTAAGTTTTATAATTATTATTTTATACTAAAAATTCATTCATAACAATTTCCATATAGCTCGTCTTGTACCACTTGCATATACAATTAAAAAATTACAAATTTCGTGTGTGGTTGAAGATGATAAAGTAAAACTCGTTTTTATTTCTGTTTTGATTTATTTTCATGAATAATTTATAGGTTGGCACGGATATTCTTGAAGAACGTATTATGGAATTTCAAGATCATGTTCAATCTGTTGATATAGCATCATTTCAAAAGATCTAGTTTTTTTTATATTGTGTGATATTTTATAATTGAAAAAAAAAAGAAGAAAATAAGAAGTCTTTGTTTTTTTTGCATATGCGAGACATGATGCTTTTCATTAATTCAAGATAAATTCATTTAGTCCTTTTTTTTGTTTACAGATGGCTGCTGCAATAGAAACCAAACTTTATGTAACGAATTTTCCAAGTTCAGCTACTCGACAACAATTACAACAATTTTTTTCACGTTTCGGTCGCGTACAAGAATGTGCGAGTAAGAAAATAATTGTTTTTTTTTTTTTTATTTTTTCGAAATTCAATACAAATTTATTTTAGTTATGTGGAATTCATATGCTTTTGTCCATTATGCGACGATGGAAGAAGGTAAATTCAAATTCTAAAAAAAAATGAAAATAAAAAGTACCCTGTATTGAAATTTCTAGCTCGTCGTGCGCTTGATCAATCAAATGGTGCAATGTTTCTTAATCGAAAACTTATTGTTCAATTATCTACATCACGTTTTCGACCACAACCAAAAGAAACAAATAATTCGATATCACAACAACCTAAACAATTGATGATTATGGCTAATCCACCACCACCATCATCATCATCGATTAATTATCAGAATTTTACCAATGGAAATAATACTGGAGGAGGATCAACAATAAAAAATCAACAGCAGCAGTCAAATTCGCTTACACAACAATATCCGAATGGTAAGTGACGCATTGAAATTTGCTTGTTTATATTATGGATATAAAACAATAATGTCATTCAGCTTTATATTATGGTTACGAGTAGATCGCTGTGAGACTAATAAAATCTTAAAAGTCAAAACATAGAGTTTGGACTTGAAATTTACTCTCTAGATATCAGATCTAATCAAACACACGTGTTTGTCAAGTACAAGTATCATGTGTTTGAACCATGAGTGTCGAGCGTTCTACCGATGAGTACATGTATGAGTCCTAGGGTTTCAGGTCATGAGTACCAATTTGTACTTGTTTAGTTGTAATATGTACACTTTTAAGTTATTAGATAATCTTGAAGCTTTTTATAAAAACGAACATATTTTTTTCGAAATGTTTCATTTCCAAAAACAAAGCTATTTATCATAAGAGGTTGGAATAATCAAGACCATTTGAAAATAATAATGACGTCGAATAATATATTTATCTTCACTCTCATACTTAAAATAAAAATCTTTTTTTTTTTTTTTCTATTTCAGAACTCAATTATGATATGATCACAAGTTATAATCCTCAACAATCATTATCATGTTCACCACCAATACAAGATGGAAATATTTTTTTTCCAAATACATATCGTCCTCCATCACCATATTATTTATCTCAAGAAATAAATAATGGTTATTATCCACAATATCCAACTATGCCTATAGATAGAATGACACCATCACCATTATCACTTCAAACAAATAAAATGAATCACATCAAATCAAATAAAAATATTAAAACAGGTATTCAAAAAAACAAATAAACAAACTAATCTTTTTATAATGTATCGTTGAAAATTTTTGATTTTTAGATATTGGTGTAAATGGCGAAATTCCAAAATTATATTGTACGAATTTACCAGATAATTGTAAAGTCAATGATTTACAACGTTTATTTTCACCATTTGGTCATGTTATTGATTGTGTTATTCTATGGGATTATTATGCATTTGTTACATTTAAAACATTTTTAGAAGCAGAACATGCTCTACATGCACTTCATGGTTATACATGGAAAGATCGACGTCTTATTGTTGAATGGTCACGTGCATCAGGACGAAGACAACAACAACATCAACAACTACAAATATCACCATCACCAACAACACCAAAACTTAATTCATTTACTTGTATATATAATGAAATAAAAAATTGGACTTTTTCATTATAATTTTTTTTTTTACTTTATTTAGCGGAAGTTTCAACACCACCATCACCACGCACACGTCCATCAACATTATTATCTCATCAATCTGCTTCTAATGAACAATTTTATGGCAATAATTCGCCGAAAATTCATTCACCACTTAAATCTCAATCACCACATCATACATTTAATCAAAATCTTGCTATGATGTCAATCATTCAACAACAACAACAACAACAACAACCTGTTTTACAACATCATCATCATCATCAACATTCATCAATACCATATGGAAATTATGCAAATAGAAATAATTTAGAAACATTAACAAATGAAAATCAACCAATATTTGATGGGTAAGTTACCATATTTTAAAATTATTATTAAAGAATTAGAATATTTCGCTAGTTCCGAATATATATTCAGAATTTTCTTCTCGAGTACAATTAAACAACTATTAGTAAATTTTATGAAAAAGTTCTACACTATGTCTGTACAAATTAAAGTAGTGACTTCGATTTAGCCTTTAATTTGTGCTTTGGAACAACTTGAACTCAACATTACGGAATTCTATACAAAATCAGATATTACAATAAGAGAAATTTCATCTATATATTCCTACTAAATAGCTAATTTCTTTGGAAATAGACATTTGTTTAAATGTTGCTTTTAGTAATCTAAAAGTTTTACAATCTATCACGAATAAGTAAATAATGTGCTTTGTAGAGAAATAAAACTGAGCAATTAATAACTATTTCGCATCTTAAATTTGATAGGTTTCAATTGAAATAGAAAACTAACTCAAATAGTATTCTGTACAATCATTAATTTGAAATAATCTGATGACAGCTGTCCAACCATATATCCTAGAAGGAAATTTTAAACCTACATTCAGACAGAACGAAAAAGTTTGCTTTTAACTAACTTCTGATTCTAATTAGTTGCCTTTAAGTTGTTGAAAACAAAATGAATATTTTGTGCTAGGTCTTTCGCACACTAGTATATCAATTGAATTGGTTTGTAGTTTTTTTTTTTGACACCGAACCAATCTCGCCATCGGTAAAGAGTGATTTTGGTTCACATATAAACATATATTTTAATAAAGCAGAAATAGATAGTTCTTATCGTCTATGTAAAATAAAACATAGACAATAAGTTAATGTCAAATAATCGAATGAGAATACTATTGTTCAGCAAGCCGATATTAGAGCCCATCGGGTCAAATATTTTCATATCTGAAACCGGTTTATTGAATATTTTCAATGTTTATCCACAAGATAATGTGTTCAAAGTTCAGAATCACCAACCATGTAATTGTGTCTAGACAAGTTACTAATGACTGTTTGTTTCGAATCAGCCGTCCGATAGCATATTGACTACATTCTGACATACACCTTCTCTTGTGGCTATTTAGTGTGTATGGGAAACTGACAAGAACTATACGTGAGAGTATCCCGTACACCTATGTAACCTAAAGGCAGAGATACTCTTCTTTCTTGA